AGCAAGGATTACTGCCTGGGCCCCACGCACGAGGAGGTGGTGACGGAGCTGGTGGCTGCTCAGAGCAACCTGTCCTACAAGCAGCTCCCGCTGCGCCTCTACCAGGTTACCAGAAAGTTTCGGGATGAGCCCAAGCCCCGCTTCGGCTTGCTGCGCAGTCGGGAGTTCTACATGAAGGACATGTACACCTTTGACGCCTCCGAGGAGGCGGCTCGGCAGACCTACGACCTGGTGTGCGACGCCTACTGCAGCCTCTTCGACCGCCTAGGCCTTCCCTTCGTCAAAGTGCGGGCAGCCACGGGCAGCATCGGCGGCACGGTGTCCCACGAGTTCCAGCTCCCGGCAGACGTGGGCGAGGACAGGCTGGGGCTGTGCCCCGACGGACATTTTGCAGCCAACGTAGAAACGCTGGACAGGGAACAAACATCTTGCCCCACGTGTGGGAAAAAACTCACCCAGACCAGAGGGATCGAAGTGGGGCACACGTTTTATTTGGGCACCAAGTATTCCTCAGTCTCCAACGCTGTCTTCTACTCCCCCGATAACAAACCCCAGCTGGTAGAAATGGGTTGCTACGGCCTGGGTGTCACTCGCATCCTGGCGGCCTCCATCGAGGTGCTCTCTACGGAGGACGGCATCCGTTGGCCGAGCCTCATCGCGCCCTACCAGCTCTGCTTCATTCCCCCCAAGAGAGGCAGCAAAGAGGAGGAGGAGGGAGCCGCGCTGCTGGAGCAGGTGTACGATGACCTCGCCGAAGCGCTGCCGCACCTCGCCGGCGACTCGGTGCTGGATGACAGGACGCAGCTGACCATCGGCAAAAGGCTGAAGGATGCCAGCAAGCTGGGTTATCCCTACGTGGTCGTAGCTGGGAAGAGGGTTTGCGAGGACACCCCGGTCTTTGAGGTTTGGAATCAGAATGCTGGCGAGGTTTTGTTCCTCACCAAGGAAGGTGTCATAGAGTTGCTGAGTAAAGTGCAAGTCCCTTAAAATCCCCGTCTCTGAATCTCTCTGCTGCACCAAGTTTATATGAACAGCTCTGGTTCCTTTTCAAGAACAGGCAGGTTGTCAGTGATGGCTCTGGGTGAGCAGGGCTGAATCCAGCTCACATCTGAGCAGCCACGGAGTCTTGACACCACGCTGGGCACAAGCAGGGGTCAGCCCACATTCTCCCACGGGCCCAGACACGCTGGCTATAGGGTCCCCATGAGCCGCTTTTACCTCCTGCAGCTGTGGGACCGTGGCATGGTCAGCCCCTCGCCGTCTGGCCACAGCAGCCCACAGCAGAGGGGGGGCCCCCAGCCACTGTGGAGCACCCACAACAGCTGAGGCTGCAGGAGGGCGGACGGGAGGGCTTCCCTCACCGATGTCAGGCGCTGAGTTCTCAGCGTGAGGGTTAAGAGGGGGAGGGAGGAAGGAAGGTGCCTTTCCTCCATTTGCATCTTGGGAGACACCCAGGTTCTGTGGAGGTTAGTCTTAGTTAAAGCAAAACTGTAGAGCCTTGTTCACGTTGAAAGTGCCGTAGTGCTGCAGATCTGCAGGAATTAAGGTGAAGGAAGGTGTCAGTCCGGTCAGGCGGGTTATTGAGGCGCCTGCATCTGCCGGTCTGGGCTGCGATGGTCAAGGTTCAGAGACGCAGCCTCAGAGGGTGGTAGAAGATCCTTGTAAAAACGGAACGTGGAATCATGAAACCTGCAAAGCCTGGGGCTGGAAATGGTCACGTTGCTAATCAGCCTCAGTAACGCTGTCCCACGGGGTGCTGACATGCCACCCGATGTGCCCTCTGCAGTGCCGGGCTCTGGAGGGAACAGCGTGCCGCCATCCCGGTGGCGCTGGCTGATGCCATCGCCCCTATGAGCCTTCGTGTGGCTTTGCCATCCTGCTCCAGA